AAAAAAAAAAACAACAAAAAAAGAAATGCCCTCAGAGATCCCTCTGCACGTCTGTGGAAGCTGAAGGGTAGTTCCTTGCCACGCAGCATTGCCTGGCCAGAAAGGGCTCCCAACTGAAGAAAAGGAAAAGAAAACAAAGAAACAATTCAAAACAGACAAATGAACAAAAGCCCGGGATCCCACCAGTGCGGCAGCCCAGACCAGGAAGCAGCTCCACACTCGAACGGAGCTGTGCAGCCCCTCGGGAAGAAGCAAAGATGGCACACGGAGCCAGGTACTCGAGCGAAAGGAGGGGGAGGTGGCGAGAGGCAAGTATGTAATCAAAAGAATCAGAAAAAAAAGCAACACTTGCAGCCAACAAATGGCACTCAGAGAGCCAGCTAGTGCGGGCTGGTGTTTCTGGACAAGAGACTGTGTCCACGGGAAGCAGAGGGGGCTGAGTGTGGGTGAAGAAGGGTAGAGAGTGGGAAAGCGTATATCACAAATTACCGGAGCTCTGCAGCCTCTCAGGAAGAAGCAAAGATGGTGCGCGGAGTGAGGTACTCGAGTGAAAGGAGGGGGAGGTGGCAAGAGGGTAGGAAGAAATCAAAAGAAGCTGAAAAAAGCAACACTATCAGCCAACAAATGGCACTCACAGAGCCGGCCCGTTCGGGTGTGTGGAATCCATGCAGCTGGTGTTTCCCGGTCAAAAGATTGTGGCCGCGGGAAGCAGAGGATGCCGAGTCAGGGTGAAGAAGGGTGGGGGGTGGGAAATCGTATAATGCAAATTACCGGTTGTTTTGTCTCCCGCTGGAAGCTCCGTGAGGCTGCTTTCTCGTACTCCCTGTTTGCTGGTCTCCGAAAGGAGTCCAAGATGGCGGATCTGCACTGCGTTAGCTGGTAGGGTACCTCTGCATGAATCTCTCCTCGCTCTCCATTCTCTGTCACTTTTTCTCACTCCATTTGGTGCTTGGCTGAGTTCTTTATCTCTTCATTTGATGTTTTAGGGTTTCAGGATTGTTGTTTTCTCTGTTTGGCTCAGTTTTTCGGACCTTTGCTGTGGAGGGACGGCGTGGTGCTTCTGCCTAGAGCGCCATTTTGCCGGAACTCGCAGATGAGCATTTTTAAGAAGGGTAAAATGCCTATAATTTCCATAGCTATTGAAAATACCAATGTTCATTGAAAAGGGATATTCTTTCTACAGTGTGAAATGGAACATTATAAAATAAAGTTAAAAAAAGGTGTCTTGACCTATTGCAAATATTGTTTTTTCATGGACATTTCCTTCATGAAAAAAAAAATCTGCCTTTTTTCTTTCTTAAAAGTAATGCAAAAGGTTGTCTCACTTTTTATCTTGTAGGCACAGCAGCCTGGAAAAAATTCTTCGGTGTGAAAACATCTATAACGAAGGTCAACGTATTGGTTGTTCCTTTAATCTGAAGGATCCCAGTTTAGAACAAGGTAGCATCCAAATAATGGTCAAGGATAATGCAGGAAAAATTAGACCATCCTTCAATGTAGTGCCTTTAAATTCCCATGGTAAGTTTTAGAAGTCCTCTATGATAGTGGGGATAAAAGTGTTATGTTTTTTGAACAATCGATACAAATAAAAGATGATTATGGTCTTAACATCTTCTCAAAACAAGGGACTGTATTTAAGGATATCTTTCTTTCATAGGGAGCCCTGGTGGCACAGTAGTTAAGAGATTGGCTGCTGACCAAAAAGTCGGCAGTTAGAATCCACCAGCCCCTCCTTGGAAACCTTTTGGAGCAGTTCTACTCTGTCCTGTCGGGTCACTATGAGTCAGAATCTACTCCATGGCAACAAGTTTGGGTTTGGGTTTTGGTTCTTTGATAGATCCTTTTAAAGAAGCAAGCTTGGAAATTTTAATATTTATTGAGCACACGTTTTGCCAGATGTTTTGTCCCTGTTTACTTATGAACATTCTGAGACTTAGAGGAATTGAAGAACTGAGACTGGCACCCAGCCTTTCTGACTCTAAGATCTCTTCTCTTTTCACTTATGCTACTTGAGAGGATGATACTACAGAATAAACACGATCATATATACTTCCTGAATTAGCTATCTCTTAGTTAGAAAATGCTTAGAATCCATGTGGTATAATAAGGGATGATATTAAAAATATTTAACACTCTGAATGGCACAGGCATTAAGCCATCAGAACAAGCAGTGTAGCGTACCTGGGCATATCAGCTGAGTGTCGGCCTATTAGAAAGAGCCCTCAACATGAAACCACAGTATCCGGTTGAGGTCCTACCTCCTCCCCTTTGGACAAGGCATATAAACTCTCTTCAACTGGTCCTCACCTGTAAAATGGGGTGCATGGTTCCCTTGACCTCAAAGGATTATTGTAAGTTCCAAATGATACAAGGTATACACAAGCATTTTGTAAATCTCTAAAGCAGAATACGGTAAGCATCACGGTTTATTTATTTGTTGTAATATCCTAACAGGGAGCTCAGATTCTGTCCAAATGGTATAAATGATTTATAAGCAAATAGTCATCAAATGAAAAATACTCCCAAGCCTTGGAGCAGAACACTATTTAACATGCCTTTAGATAGTCATGGAAATGAATTCTAATAGTGGACTAAAGGCAGTTTAGTTTGTAGGTCAGGGGAGGGAAGTCAGGGAAGCTTGAGGAATGGGGTAATCTGAAGCAAAGCCCTTCTCTTTCCTTCCCCTTGCTTGGCACATTGTCCTAGATGGACCTTTTATTTTGCTGCTCTTCTTGGATGTTAATGGTGACTTAAAAGATGATCCTTCTCAGCTAGAAGATGACATTTTCCAGTTGTTTTCTGTTAATTATTCATTGTCTTCTATTGCTTGATCTTAAGCATAGCTGACTCCTGAAAATCCAAATTGATTGGCAAAGAGCCCTGGTGGCACAAACGGTTAAGCATTTGGCTGCTAAATGAAAGGTTGGCGGTTCAAAGCTACCAGCTCCACGTGAGAAAGACCTGGCCATCTGCTTCCGTGAAGATTACAGCCAAGAAAACCCTATGGGGCGGTTCTGCTGTGTCACATGGGGTCGCTATGAGTCAGAATGGACTTGACAGCACATAACAACAACATTTTTAATTGTAGTCTTTGATTGGCATGAATGAGTGACAGCTGGGGAAGCCCCTTGTACCTGGTGCCTTAAATCTATCAGCTGAAGGCACATTTGGAGCCCAGCACTCCTTTTCTGTATTCTATATCTTGCAACTGGATGTCCTGATAATAGCCTGACCCTTTTCTAACTCGATGCAGGTCAGAGTTCAGCTCTAAATAAACTTGCTCCATTAATTGTGACTAACCAGGAATTCTAGAACTATATGTCTGATCATATAGGGCCATTAAAAGCATCAACTCTATTTTAATTTAACTTCGTGAACTTCATTATCCCTACTTGTATATGTATCTCATCAAAATAAACTCTGGAAGCTAATTTGTATTCTTCTATCTTTCAGTGAAACCTGATCCTCCAGATATTAAAAATCTCTCCTTCAAAAACGATGGCTTGTATGTGGAGTGGAAGAATCCGGAGAATTTTCAGAGCACATGCTTACTTTACGAAGTAGAAGTCAATAACAGCCACATTGTTTCAGAAATTTTTCCCGTAAGTTTTTTCTTTATTTTGGTTTTATTTAGATATTTTTCTTCTCACTTGAATTTATCACCGTGTAATAAGTTAAAATAGCAATGAAATGTAGCTCTTAGATTTGTCACCTTAAGCTGCTGATGATAATGATGCTTCTTTTCTGAAACAGAGCATGGTAGAAGGGTTGCGCATTTATGGTAGTCTGGTTTAAGCCATTCATTAACTCATTTGCTCAACAAATTTTTATTAAGTATTTACCACATGCCAGGCACTGTTTTATGTGCTGAGATAAGGCAGTGAACATGACATGTGACAAACAAGTTGTTGTTTTTTTCCCTCCATGAAACTTACATGCTAGAAAATAAGTTTGTAAATGAAGAAGCTAATTTCAGAGAATAAACATTAGGAAGAAAATACAATGGGGTAATGAAATAGAGAATGACTGGGAGGACGTGAGGGAACGTTAGGTAGGGCAGTCATCTGAAGTGATGACATTTGAGATGAAACCAGAATGATGAGCAGGAGCTAATCATGTGAAGATCTGGAGGTAGAGGGAACAGCAAGTACAAATATTCTGTGGCAGTAATGAACTGGGCATGTTTGAGAAGCAGAAAGGAGGCTGATGTGGCCAAAACATAGTAGGAAAAGATGTCTAAGCAGTAGGCAGGAATCAGGTCATGTAGATATTTGGAGGCTCTGGTAAGGCCATTCAGTTTTCTTGGACTTTGTGGCAATTAAGTTGTCAAATTCAAGTAGTCAGCATTTGTTGGATTGTGTATGCTAGTCAGACTCTAACATGAAATATGCTAATTAGAGGTTGCTGTGGGACATTGGCCAGAATGTGGCATAACCTCCGGGCATCAGTCCTATTGTTACACTTTGGACTAGAGGTCACAAACTAGGGCCTTATACATTTTTTTTTGTTTGGACCACAAAGTAAGGTTTTGTTTGTTTATTAAATTTGAATGTTTTGCCCAGATTTAAAATTGTAGTACCTGAGGACTATAGTTTCCATAAGGTGGCGCCTTAAGACCCCTGGGACTGCTCCAGTCACTTATTGCTACCTGCCTGGCCCTGTGCGCACTTGAGTTTTAGAGGTTAGAAACCAAGTGTTTTGTGTCTTCTACTGGCTTTTAAAGAAGCCCAGCACCTTGCATGTGGGCGAATTCTTTGGTCTAGTTATTTAATTAATCATGGGAGTTTCAAAATGCTTACTAAAATAGTTCAGTGTTGACAGGTTGTAACTCCAGAGAGAGTGACCAGAGCCATAGTTGAACAGAGCCTTTCTGGGAATTTGCAGATGAATCTGTCTCCTGAAATGTAACAATCATTATTAGTATCAGAAACTATAGTATCCCCATACAATACCATGAAGGGAAAAGCAAAGGACAACCAAGTGGGGTGGGGGGTAGTGCTTGGATTTACAACAAAGTGAGTTATCAGAAAGTTGAAATATACTTGATACTCCAGCCTTTACTGTTCTTTTCTCTCTGAAATCTTGGCGCACATGCTATTTGTATTACTCATTTTGGCACTGAATTGTGCCCTGCTGTTTAACCTGATCATGTGTGTATGTCTTGTCTCTCCACTGAAAATATAAGCTCTGGTAGGGAGGAGTTGGGATATCTACTTTGTGCTGTTCCTGCTACTAATAGTAGCTAGCATGTATTGAGTGATTACTATATACCAGGTACTTTGATAAGCACTGTACCTGCATTATCTCATTTAATTCTCACAATAACCCTAAGGAGCTAGGTCCTGTTATTTTGTCCCCATTTTACAGATGAGCAAACCTAGCGTCAGAGGTTAAGCCTGAGGTTGCATTTCTCGTGACAGTAAAGATTTAAGCAAAGTTCTAACTCCAAAGCTTGTATTTTTAACCACTGGGGACCACCTCAATACTTCCTCTTGATAGTTATAGCTATCATTTATTGAGTGTTTGAAGCTCTGGTGGCACAGTGGTTAAGGGCTTGGCTGCTAACCAAAAGGTTGGCAGTTTGAATCCACCAGCCACTCCTTGGAAACCCTATGTGGCAGTCCTGCTCTGTCCTATAGGGTCACTATGAGTCGGAATCCACTCGACGGCAACGGGTTTGGTATTGAGTGTTTACGATATGCTACAAAGATACATGTTTCTAAGTGCTTCTTATGTGGTAGCTCGTTTGAGTCTCATAACACTGTGAAATGAGTACTGTTTTAACCTACATTTTATTGAAAAACTGAGGCTCAGAGAGATTAAGTAACTTGATACAGGCCACACAGATCTAAAGTCAGTATGACTTCAAATGTTGGTCTCTATGTATTATACTTTGACCAAGAATACTTGGTATAAGCATCACTTAGTAAATTCTTGTTGAATTGAGTTACCTTTTCTACAAACTTCTGAACTGAAGAAAACACATATACTATGAGAATTATCTACCTAAATCAGAGCTATAATCTATATGAAATTAAGTGTTTATATACTAAGGAAGACCGAAGAAGAATTGATGCCTTTGAATTATGGTGTTGGCAAAGAATATTGAATATACCATGGACTGCCAAAAGAACAAACAAATCTGTCTTGGAAGAAGTATAGCCAGAATGCTCCTTAGAAGCAAGTATGGCGAGACTACATCTCACATACTTTGGACATTTGGATAGTTTCCAGCTTGGATTTCTTTATGAACAGTGTTGTAATGAATATTTGTGCACTTGTCTCTTCGTACACATGTTCATACATTTCTGTTGGCCATATATGTAGGCATATATGAGTCACGGGGTTACATATGGTCATCTCTAGTAGATAAGAAACAGTTTTCCAAAATGCTTGTGGCAATCTACACTACTAACAGCAGAAATTGAGAGTTTTAGATACTTTACATCCTCACCAACACTTGGTATTGTCTGGTAGGTGTGTGTATTGGTATCTTGTGGTTTTAATTTGCATTTCCCTGTTGACTAATGAGGTTAAACACTTTTTTATATGTTTATTGGAAATTTGCATATCCTCTTGTGTAATGGGTTCTGTTGGGTTGTCTGTCTTTTCCTTACTGATTTGTAGGGAATATGTGTGTGTGTGTGTGACATATATAATAATACTATATACAAGTCCTTTGTCAGAAATTGCACCTATCTTCTCCCATGCTATGCATCACCTTTCTATTTTCTTAATATGGTGTCTTTTGTTGAACAGAAGAAATTTTTAGTTTTAATATAGACCACTTTAGAAAAATTTTTCCTTTATGGTTAATTTTTTTCATCCTGTTTAAGAAAAATCTTTTCCTACTTCGTGATCATGAAACTGTTCTCCTATGTTTTCACCTAAAAGCTTGCTTTATTTATATATTTATTTATTCATGTATTTTACCTTTCACATTTAGATCTGCAATCCATCTGAAATTGATTTTGCAAATAGTGTGAGGTAGGGGGTCAATATTCTTTTTTTTCCCATATGCATATATAATTGACCCAGCACCACTAATTAAAAAGACCAACCTTTTCCCACTATACCTGGTCCTCTTTTAATGAGATAAAAGGAAAGCTTGTTGAAAACTGTTAAATGACATAAAATGTGTTTTTTAAATTTTTGGACTCATTGTCTTTTTTTTATTTTTTTTATTTTCAAGGTTGAAGAGATCAAATGTCAGAGTTCAGAGGTCAGTAAATTCAAATTTAGCTATTTGTGCTTAGAGTTACAGAGCAACCGGGGGTGGGGCAGCATGGGCAATAGCCTAAATGTGTACTGCTTTGAGGAAAAAAAAAAAAACTTTGTTCTGTGGCTTGTTGCCATTTTTTTTTCGGGAGTCAAAGTCAGATAATTTAATTGCAGTGTAAGTTTTAACCATATGCAGAATTTGGCAGACAATTATATTAGGGTTCAGTAGCAGAGAAAGAGAATAAACTGATACTATTCCTTGTGTATTTTTATTTTGTATCCAAGGGTAGAATCTGTTTGTTGTTCCCCAGTGTTCTTCCTGATACTTTGAACACAGTCAGAATAAGAGTCAAAACAAATAAATACTGCTATGAAGATAACAACCTCTGGAGTAATTGGAGTCAAGCCATGAGTATAGGTAAGAGAACAGAATTTCATTAAAATTTAAAACACTGATGCATGGAAACTAAGCTAAAGCAGAAAATAGACTGAGGGAAGGGGATGTTCTATTCTCTTGATATCAGCCAGAGAATAGTTAAAATTGAAATTTTTTTTTCTATTTAATTACTGTCAAATCACCCAAGGTTAATTTACAATATACAGCTCTTTGAAAATCCACAATCCAAATAGTGTTTTCCTGTCCTGAACAAAAATATAGAAGGCAGGCATGTGCAAATCTGCAGATCCTACAATGCTAGAGGACTGTCCTATGTGCTGGATGACAGAATCAAGAGTGGAACAATGACGTTGGTGGCATTTTTTTGTGTGTACTTGAAGTGAAAGTTCACAATTCAAGTCAGTTTCTCATACAAAAATTTATACATACATTGCTATGTGACCCTAGTTGCTCTCCCTGTAATGTGACAGCACACTCCTTTCCACCCCTGATTTCCCAAGTCTATTCAACCAGCTCCTGTCCCATTTTGCCTTCTCATCTTGCTTCTGGACAGGAGCTGCCCACTTGGTCTCATGTATCTACTTCAGCTAAGAAGTACTCTCTTCACGAGTATCATTTTATGTCCCATAGTCCAGTCTAATCTATGTCTGAAGAGTTGGCCTCAGGAATGATTTTAGTTTTGGTCTAACAGAGAGTCTTGGGGCCATGTCTTTCTGGGTCCATCCAGTCTCAATCAGACCATTAAGTCTGGTCTTTTTACTAGAATTTGAGTTCTGTACCCCACTTTTCTACTGCCCGTCAGGGACTCTCTGTTGTGTTCCCTGTCAGGGCGGTCGTTGGTGGTAACCGGGCACCATCTAGTTTTTCTGGTCTCAGACCGATGGAGTCTCTGATTTATGTGGCCCTTTCTGTCTCTTCGGCTAATACTTTCCTTGTGTCTTTGGTGTTCTTCACTCTCTTTTAGTCCAGGTGGTTGGGACCAATTGATGTATCTTAGATGGCCGCTTGCTAGCTTTTAAGACCCCAGATGCCACTTATACCTTGGTGGCATTTAATGGAGATAAATCTGTACCTAGGTTTGGAAGAAATTAATTTACCTAGTTATTGAGAGGCTGATCAAGCTATGTACCAAGCTCAAGTACAGGATTGGAAAGACCTGTAGTTTATGTGTGTGTTGTGAGATGGAGTCTAGGGTTTTTTGTTTGTTTGTTTGTTTGTTTTACTGTAAGCTTAATGTGTGACTCAAGGCTTAAATATCCCCAAAAGGCGTATGCAGTCTTAGGTAGCAGTAATAGTATAGCACCCAGAACAAGGGAATGCTGTGGGGTGGGGCACAGTGGTCTGGCCAGATCAGAGGTGTACAGTATTTCATTCTGGGTACCACGCTGTAGGAGATGCATTGGCAGACTGGAATCTATCCTTGAAACGATAACCAGTATGTTGAAGGGCCTCAAAATTTGGCAAGGAACTACTGATAAAATAACTTTGAAAAGTCATGATTGCTGATGTTAGTACTAATATTTGAGGTATTGTCAGGTAGAAGAGGGAATAGGCTATCCTTTTTGGCTCCAGGGGGCAAAATAGGCAACTTAAGACTTTTTCTAAACAACTGTCTGCCAGTTGGATAGATGGCTTGGTGAGGTAGTCAATTCCCTATTAATTGAAAGGCTGAGCAAGCTGTGTTCCAGGTGTGGTTATATTAGTCACCTATTGCTGTGTAACAAAATACCCCAAAAGTTAGTGACGTAAAACAAAACACATTTATTATCTCACAGTTTCTTTGGGTCAGGAATCTGGGTACAGCTTAGCTAGTTATCTCTGTCTCAGGCCTCTCATGAAGTTGTGGTCAAGCTGTCCACTAGGGCTACAGTCTCAATCTGAAGGCTTGACTGGGGCTGGAGAATCCACTTCCAAGCTCACTCATGTGATTGTTGGCAAACCTCAGTTCCTCACTGGCTTCTGGATAGAGGCCTCCTTCAGTTCTTAGCCACTCAGAGCTCTGTAGAGGATTGCCTCATGACATGGTAGCTGGCTTCCCAAGTGACTGATCCAAGCGAGAGAGATTGTGTGAGAGTGCGTGAGAGAACACCCAGTATGGAAAACCACAGTCCTTTATAACCTAACCTTGGAAATGATATACCATCACTGCTACTAATTTATTCTTTAGAAGAGAGTCAGTTAGTCCAGCCCACACTCAAGGAGAGGGAATTATAGAAGGGTGTGAATACCAGAAGGTGGGGATCACTTGGGGCCATCTTAAAAACCAAACCAAACTCGTTTCCATCTAATTGATTCTGACTCATAGCAACCATAAGGACAGAGTAGAACTGCCCCATAGGGTTTCCAAGGAGTGGCTGGTGGAGTCAAACTACTGACCTTTTGGTTAGCAGCCGGACTTTTAACCACTGTGCCACCAGGGCTCTGGGGCCATCTTAGAGGCTGCCTAATACAGTAGTGCTAGACCCTGATAACGCTTTCTAAGTGCTCCTGGTCTAGTGGGAAAAATGAACATATAAATAGACAAATGCTATTCTGTGTGTTAGGTGCAGCAAGGCAGTTACTAACAGGCTTTGGAATTGGACCGTGCTGGATTTGAGGCCTTACTCCATCACTTACTAAAGCTTTCTGGATAAGTCACTAACCTCTTTGAGCCTTATCCTTCTCATCTGTATAAATTGGAGATAATAATATCTACCTTTGTAGCATAAATATGAGATAAGCATGTAAAAGCACCTAGTATGATGTCAGAAAAGGTCCCTGGGTGGCGCAAACAGTTTGCGCTCGTGTACTAACCTAAAGGTTGGTGGTTCAAACCCACCCGACAGCACCATGGAAAAAAGGCCTGGCGATATGCTTCCGTAAAGATTATAGCCAAGGAAACCCTATGGAGCAGTTCTACTATATAACACGTGGGGTCGCCATGAGTCGGAATTGACTCGACAGCAATGGGTTTGGTTTGATTTATGGTGTCAGAAGCATAGTAGGTGCTCAATTAAGAAGAGTAGTAGTGGCAGTTATTGTTATGATTATTTTAGGTGTTCATGATAACATAACTAATAAACAATAAGGAAATATACTCACTGTGTTAATTAAATGACATTTAATAGATGTGACATCTTTGTTAATAGTATATGAAACCAGTTAAGATTTCCTGCTTTCTAAAGGTGATTCTTAAGGTATTTACTCACCCAGGGAATTTCAGGCACCAGAGCAGGACTTTTTTTTTTTAACTATTAAGGTATAGAGTTTTAGAAAATAGGCTGGAGTAGGGGGGCAGAAGTGTCTGTGCTCTCACGAGTCCAAGACAACTTTTGTTTGCTTTATTTCTAAAAGGGATTTTCTCTTTGCTTTCTTCCATTTTCCAGGTGAGAAGACCAGCTCTACATTCTACATCACCATATTACTCATCATTCCAGTCATTGTTGCAGGAGCAATCATAGTCCTTCTGCTTTACCTAAAAAGGTAAGGCAGCTGCCCAGGCAGGTTCTGCAGTTTCTGCTAGCCTGGATGCTAAGGGTATTACTCTTTGTGCTGGTGTTTTATGTTTGCCCAGTGTATTAGAAGCATTGTAGCCAAAAGTTGCTTTTGGTAGTATGGAACGGCAAAGAAGTATTCTTGTGCCCATTTTCTGTTACGGAAGATGTTGAATTAGTTGCCCAGGGTTCTGTCCAGACACTGCTTCCTTTGCACTTATTTAGAATTGTTGAATAGGCCCTATGTTCACTTTATGCTTTCAAACGAATGGAAGTTTAGAAATGGAGACTATTACTAATTAAATGACTTGTCTAGTATTAACGCAAGGGAGGCTGCTACTTAATGCTGTAAGAGAGAGAACTTCACCAGGTTGGGCTTGTTCCTTGAGAATGTTTTACTTTCTCTCACCACAGTGACTAGTCTGGTGCTGGGATTTGCTCTTGCAGTAAATGCTTAAGGTTGAAATAAAGTTATTAAGCTGGATACAGAACTAATATTTTATCATCATTTTAATTTCAATCATCCAACATACATTTAGTGAGTGCCTATTTATGCGCCAGAGCCCTGGTGGCGCAGTGGTTAAGAGCTCAGCTGCTAACCAAAAGGTTAGCAGTTCGAATCCACCAGCCGCTTCTTGGAAACCCAGTGGGGCAGTTCTACTCTGTCGCTATGAGTCGGAATTAACTTGATGACAACGTTTTTTTTTCAAACGTTCCAGGCATTGTTCTAGGTGCTAGGGCTGTAGGGAAAGTGACATCTGAGGAGAGACTCAAAGGAGTGAACCATTTAGATGTTTGAGGAAAGAACATTCCAGACTAACGGGACAGCAAGTACAAAGACCCTGAGGGTGGAATGAGCTTGATGTGTCTGGCTGGCACCAAGTGTGCAAGGGGGAGAGTGGCAGGAGATGAGGCTGGAGAGGTTGACGGGGGCAGATCATGCAGGCCATGGCAAAGAACTGAGATTTTATGCTAACAATGATGGGGAAACATTGGAGGGTCTTAAGCAGGGGAGAGATGTGATCTGATTTACTGTCATATAAAATCACATCATTCTAGTTGCTGAGTGAGGAATCGACTTGGGCAAGAATGGAAGCAGGTGGACTAGTTAGGAGGCATTACAGTGTTTTGGGGGAGAGCTGATGGTATCTTGGGCTAGGGGTTAGCAATGGAGGTAGTAAAAAGTGGTCAGATGTGGGATATGTTTTGAAGGGTAGAAATGATAGGTCTTGCTGATGGTTGGTCTGTAAAGATGTGAGTGAAATTAAGGATTCAAGGATAGCTCTCAAATTTTTGGCTTGAGCAACCAAGTATTGGTGGCATTTACTGAGACAGAGATTGGTGAAAAGAGCTGGCTTTAGGGGAAAGATGAGGAGTTCAGTTTTGAACATGTTAAGATTGAGATGAATAGTAGATAGAAATGTTAAATAGGCAATTGGATTTATGGATCTGGATTAAGGGAGAGGTCTGGAAATAGAACTTTGGATGTCCTTGACATGTAAATGGATTTAAAGCCCCAAAACTGTAAGAGACCACTCAGACAGTGAGATAGAGAAGGGAAGGGAAGAGGACAAAGGACTGAACCCTTGGGCACTGCAATGTTCAGAGACCTGGGAGATGAGCAGGTCCACCAAAGAGCATTGGAAGATTCAAAAATGGAGAGGAGAGAAGCAAAAAGGAGAAAGAAAAGTTAAAGAAGAATGTCCCCTGTTCTCAGAAGATTTTTTTTCAAAATTATAAACAGCAAGCCACCATCTGGTTTATTATAAACAAAGCACTGTTATTATTTAAATTTTAAGATACTGCTAATTTGCTTATCCTGACGGTCCCTTTGCCCTACCGAAACTTGATGCTCTTAAGACATCAATTTTCCATAGCCTGTTTCAGAAATTTCTTTACAACTGCTTCATCACTAAAGGGGATTTGTATTCCTTGTCTTTTGTTCAAGCCTTCTTTTAATATGGCTGTATTTAGGTAGAATGTTCCTGTGGGCTGGCAGGTTTGACCCAGAATATCTGTTTTCTTAAAGGCTGAAGATCATTATATTCCCTCCAATTCCTGACCCTGGCAAGATTTTTAAAGAAATGTTTGGAGACCAGAATGATGATACCCTGGTAAGCAACTCTAATAGTTGTATCCTGCAGACTTTCATGCCAGAATTTGTGGCTAGGAAACCTGAGACCTTATGGCAACAAAAGGATTCGAGGTTACTGTGATAAATATATTTATCTAAATAAAGGAATAAGAACACTAAATGAAATAAGTATCAGTATCATTATATATATCTTAAATTAGTAATGCTAGACACAGGGCAGTTAATTTAGGAAAGTAATACAGCCTGGACTCTGGAATCAGATTATCTGGATTCAGATCTCTGCTCTGTCATTTACCATCTTTTTGACCTTGGGTAACTTCCTTAATCTTTCTGTGCCTCAATTTTCCCATTTGTAAAGTGGGGGATAGCTCCTGCTTATAGTGTTAATATGTGGATTAAATTAATTTAATACATAAAAACCACTTAGTGTGCCTGGCACACTTCATAAGTGTAAGTGATTAGTATTACTGTTGATAATGATTTTCATTTATCTTTAATCCCCAAATAATTCTTAGAATATTGGGTGATTCACAAAGGCCGTAATGATAGTTGGGATAAGGAAGGCAGGGAGGCTGATGTGCTATCAGAGGAGAATTCGTCTGGATAACTTTCTCACCAAGTCATTGTCACAGACAGTGCGTAACTCTGCTAGACCTGGGGTATAGGGCACTGCTAGGCAGGTAGGCCCAGAAGCCAGGTATCTGATGGGGAGATTATACACCATAACTGGGGTGAGTATGGCAAACAGTGATTCTTCAACTTTAATTGATTCACAGTCAACTGGAGTTTTTGTAAGAAATAGAGATTACTGGGTCCTACCACCTGCAGTTCTGATTCAGCAGGTCCGGGGTGGGGCCCAGGAATCTGCATATTTAACAGGAGCCCACAAGTGATTCCTATCTTGGTAAGGCAGTCTGTGCACCACATTTTGACAATCACTGTTACAGATATTTTCCTTAGGATAATCCCTGTCTATTTCTTCATTTCACCAGCTAGTGTGAATAGGTGCTAGAGTTTCGGAATTGTACAACTACTCTAACAGCAACTGTAACCAGTTCTTGAAACTCTAATATGTGCCAGGCCGTGAATTAGGTGCTTTGCTTATATTACCTCATTGGATCCTCATAACCACCCTATGAAGTAGGTGCTGTTAGTCCCATTTTACAGATGGGGAAATTGAGCCTCAGTGAGGTTAAATAACTTAGCTGAGGTCACACAGGTGGTAAGGTAGGATTTGAACCAGGATTGTCTGATTGCAGAGTTCTCTCTCTGCTTTCCTCAATGCTGCATTGCCTTGTGTAAGATAGAATGTTTGTCCTCAAGACTCTCACCGTCGCCTAAGAGTGCTGTATGATAGAAGTAGAGGGTTGGGATAGGGGAGTTCTGACAGAAAGATTTGGAGTCACATTATGGCCTTATATGGTAGGTCATTGGGAATATCATTCTGACAACAATCTGGAGGGAATGGGTTAAACCAGGAAGGCACTAGCATGGTAGCAAATGGAGAACCTAGGCCTGAATTTGCCCCATAGGTATTTTGTTTGGCCAGCATGGTGTATTTAAAATTTTTCAGTTTGTAGTCTTAGGCGGAGCACACATTCTCCAATTAGTCACAGGCTCTACCCTCCCAATTATATTACACATTGTGGTTTCACATGTTGATCTAACATGCCAGGCTCCTGAAAGGCATTTGAATTTGCTACCTGTCTTAGCATAATGGAAACTAGTTAAAATACCATGGCACAAATGCACAATATCTGTGAAAACATGTTTGGACTCACTAATATATGTGAGACATGTCAACTGAAGCACTGAGGAGATACAAATTTTCAGCCTAATAAAATTCTAAAAAGTGATACTATCTAGTGTTAACAAGGAGACGGGGAAACTGGTACATTTTATACACTTGCTGGTGGACTGTAAAATGATATATATCCTTTCTGGAGGTGCAGTGTGATGGATTGCTTTTGTGAGGCCTTTCTCGCCATGGTATTGTAACTCCCACCCAAGTGATTGGTTGGGACTGTGGGAATAAGGAAATTGTGGCCCACCGAAGGGATTGGTCAGTTTTACCATCCTGATAGGCTTAAAATGAGCCATCCCAGAGAGAGAGAGAGAGAATTGGTAAAGATGGCAGAGAGAGGAGGCATGTCTGACCTGTACCTCATAGGAATTAGTCTTGGACTGTTGATCTTGATTACCCTTCCCCCTTGTGAAATTAGAGGAGGTCAGACAACGAGACGCCCACGCCATTTTTGCAGGAGGACAACTTCGCAAAATGTAACAATCTTTGATGTGACAATCCTTGATCTTGTTATGCTTTTAGGAATCTAGTTTAAGAAAATAATCCAACAATGCCATGAAGATGGACAGTGCAGCAATCGTTTCTAACATAAACAATTACAAACCAATGGAACATCAACAATGGAGGATTAGTTAAAAAAATTAAAAGTTGAGTTTTCTAAGCATTTAATGTCATAACAAAATATGATAGAAGAGTAAAAGAACATCATAAATGTGTACTTATATTGCTATCCTAATTTTTTAAAAAAAATATTAATATATACATAGAATAATGATTGAAAGGAAATGGGTCAAAATGATCATCTCGGGCAGAAGGATTGTGGGTAATAGATATTATTTTCTCTCTACTTGTCTGAATTTTCCAAATCACCTATAATGAGCATGTATTACTTTTATAATAAAAAAATCCCTGTATCAGTCATTAAGGGAACAAAGAACATTACAGTCATCCACGGCTAAGAGCTAATAGGGACTTGAACTTAGGTGGTAGCAGAGGAGATTGATACAAGAGACATTATTAAAGGAAAATAATTAAGACTTGGCGATTCTGTGTGAGTGATGAAAGATGGAGAGAGTAAAAAATTATTTTAAGGTTTCAGGTCTGGATGATTGAATGAATGATGGTAGCACTGACAGCAAAATCAGATCAGTTATCTTAGAGATGGGAAAATCGCTTTTTTCAATTTGCTGTGTAGAGGATAATATGTTGTTTTTGTCCCGATGAGTCAGATAATTCTATAATTTAGTGAGACGCATATACTGACAAGATGGACCACTAAAAGCTTAAGGTGTTTTTGTTTGTGGTGGTTGTAGACCATTAAACAAAATCAGTGCTTTAAAACTAAAAGTATTAAAAAAATGCCAGACAGGGAAAAGGGTAGGAGCAAATTTTCATGTCTGCTTTTTAACCAAATGAATAATCTGCTTTTTTTTTTTTTTTAACGTGGTGGCATTCGTTACAAAGTGAGCTGCATATGCAGCAGAAACACTAGCCTTTGACTTCTAGAATCATCGAATTATAGAATGAATACGGACCTAGAGGCCATCTAATGAGGCAGATGTTTATATGTTTAAGTATTTCCCTTTAGTTATAAATTTCCCAAACTGTAGATTCTAGTCCAACCCCCTCCCTTTACCGATGGGGACATTGGGGGACGTAGAGAAGTTTGTCAAGGACTGTTACACAGAGTTAATTGCAGAACCTGAACTAGAACCCATTCTAGCCCAAAGTTACTGACTCTTAATCCAAGGAAATAACCCATGACCTTTCTGAACACTCTTTTTTTCCACACTACACCATCAATAGTGGTTCTTAAAATTTTTATTTAGGTGTGGTCCCAAATAAAATCTTTAGTATAGTTTTCGTTAAGGTTTCTAGTCTTTCGATGTTTTGTTCATCACTGTAGCAACATTTTGGCCAACAGTGTTTCTTCCTTTTTTTAAAATTTTTTTTATTGTACTTTAGATGAAGGTTTACAGAACAAATAGTTTCTCATTAAACAGTCAGTACACATATTGTTTTATGACATTGGTTAAC